CTCATGGCTTCTTCACCCTGCCACCAGAGCTACCAGGGCTACATGCAGAGTTGCGAGCTCCACGACGAGGGCTACCAGATCAGCCTGTTAAGCAGAGCTGCGAGGGCCAGAAACAGAACCCCCAGAACCATCCTCTGTGCCACGAGGGCCACCAACAGCGCTTAGAGAACCACCACCTGCGCTCCATGGGCCCCCAGCAGAGCTTCGAGTACCACCAGCCGAGCGTCGAGGACCACCAGTTGTGGCACCGGGGCCACCCACCGAGCTACCTGCGCGTGACCAGTACGACCTCGTGCATGGCGCTAGCACCCAGAACGTGGGACACCACGTCTTGGCAGCCGGGGACTCCGACTCTGACCTCGTGGATCCTGACACAAAGAGGGACGCACATGTGGACGCATTCCTCGATTATTTAATCGCTTCGCTCATTCCGCCGGCCCATATTGTCGCACCGTTGTGGGCTAGCCGAGTTTTGGGGCCTCTTGGGGGCCGTTTTGGGGCCTCTTGGGGCCTCTTTTGGGCCTCTTGGGCGCCTCTTGGGGCGTCTTGGGGGCCTCTTGGGGGCCTCTTGGGGCCTTTTTGGGGCCTCCTGGGCGCCTTCTGGGGCGGAGGGCTCGATTTTTCAGTTCTCGGTTCCCCTCTTGAGCCCCTCTTGGGCCCGTCTTGGGGCCTCTTGGTCCGTCTTGGGCGGCACTTGGGCCGTCTTGGGGGCCCTCCTGGGCCGTTCCGGGGCCGTCTTGGGAGCCTCGTGGGCCGTCTTGGAGCGGTCTTGGGAGCCTCTTGGGCCGTCTTGGAGCGTCCGGAAGCCGAAAAAGCCAGAACGCAAAAAACATAGAAAAAAACAATGAAAATCAACGATTTTGGCCTCTTGGGGCCCTCTTCGGAGGCCTCTTGGAAGGCCCTTGGGGCGTCTTGGAGGCCTCTTGGGCTGTCTTGGGGCCCTGTTGGGCGTCTTCGGGCGATCTTTGGCCGTCTCGGGGCCCTCTTGGACCGTCTTGGAGGCTTCTTGGGGACCTCTTGGCCCGTCCTGGGGCCCTGTAACAGGGCTCCAGCATCTCTGGCCCGACCTTGCCGGGGACTTGCCGGGACCTTGCCGGGGACTTGCCGGGACCTTGCCAGGGTACTTTTCGTCCGGGGACCCCCAGGGGCCGCCCCGCGCGCGCGAACTAGAAATACTGTTAACCAGGTACCGGAGATCTTAGCACGCCCTGGCCCGTTGGGCCGGCGAATTTCCTGGACCAGGTGTCCGAGCGCGAGGAGGGCATCCAAGCTCCGTAGCGAGGACCAGCGCAGTTCCAACGACCAGCAGAAACGCGCGAAACCTCCAGAAGAACCGAGGCCAACCAGCCGAACTAAATGCCACGAGTTAGGGCCCACAAATATTGTAAAACAGTAGCCACATATATTCGAGAGCCACAAGGATAACTACGAGACCCATGAGCTGAGCCACGAAAGCCACAAGCAGGACCACGAGGGCAACAAACATAAATAGTTCAGCCATCAGCAGAGCTAGCAGGACCACCAGCAGACCTTCGAGTATCACGAGCTGAATTTCGAGGATCACAGGCACAGCTACGTTACCAACCTCCAGAGCTACGGGGACCACAAGCTCAGCCACGAGGACCACAAGCAGGGCTACGAGGACCACCCGCTGAGCCACGAGGGCCGCAAGATCAGCTACAAGGGCCGCAAGCAGGGCAACGAGAGCCACCTACGAGAGCTACAGGCAGAGCAACGAGGACCACCAGCTGAGCTACGGGAGGCACCGGCTGAGCTGCGAGAGCAATCTGACGAGCTACCAGGGACACCTACTCAACAATGAGAGCCACCATCAGAGTTACCAGGGTCACAAGCTGACCTACAAGAACCTCCGCCTCAGTTTCGAGGGCGACCAGCTGGACAGCGAGGACCACAAGCCAGGTTGCAAGGGCCACGCGCAGGGCTACGAGGACCAACGGCTGCGCTGCGAGAGCCACCAGCTGAACAGAGAGGGCCTTGAGCAGAACTGCGCGGAACACAAGTGGAGCTACGAGAGCCTACAGCAGGGATGCGAGTGCCATCAGCTGAGCCACAAGAGTTTCGAGCACAACCTCGAGAGTTTCCAGCACAACTGCGTGAACCACCTGCTGAGCTACGAGGGCAGCAAGCACAGCCCCGATAGCACCAGCTGGGCTATGGGAGCTACCAGCAAGTCTACCAGGGTCACCAGCTACTACGTAGAGTCACCCGCTGATCTGCGAGAGTCACCAACGGAGCTACCAGGGCCACCGGTTGACCTACGAGAACATCGGGCAGAGCTACGGGGGCCAGCAGCAGTTCCGAGGGAGACGCGCGATCGCGATGCGAGAGAGAGAGGAGCGGAGACACGGCGGCCGAGAGTATGGTGGAACATGGGGGCGCTGTGGACCCCCGCAAACAGGAGCACCAGAAGTGTTCGCGACCGGTTCAAGCGAGGGATGCTCGAATATTCACGCGTGCGTGCGCCAAACCACGCATGGTG